AAGCCGACACTTTTACAGATATAATACTGAAATATTGATTTACACAAACTTGATCATTTAAACATTTTCTTTGACTGCCTAACACTTTCACACTGTGCTATATTTTTTAATACATGTCCTTTTATCCACAATACTACACAAGACTATTTCTGTTACATTCCCAGTATTTTCGATGGATACAAGTATGGGGACCAGTGGTTTTACTGGTGTTTCACATGGGCTCTGTTCGGATTACATAAAGGAGCTCTGAAGGTCTAGGCATGGCTGAGAGGTTACGAGACCATGTCTAATGCAGCATAATCCAGCAAGGAGATCAAAGAAGCACCTGCGTGTACTTAGGAGAAATACAACTGAAAAACATGGGTGGGTGACGAGGAGATACTGCAAGATTCCTGACCTGTGTGGTTGGACACTGAAGCTCCAGTAGAACCAGTGGGCTGGCACATTTCATGATGTTGAAGTAGAACAGATTGGGTTTCTTCCTAAGTTAGACACAATAAATAGAAGGAAAAAACCACTCAGGACATGAACTCGAGTGACCTCTGTTCAATAACTCATAACCCAAAGGCATGCATAGAACCCCATAATGTTTGCTAGCTAAGCACCAGTTAATCAACTAAATGCAAATGCGAGAGAGAGCTGGTGCCCAGCAAACATGCACTTTTCACGTTACTCCCATTTACTTAAAAAGATTCTAAAGGTTGTTTATAATCTTAATAGGCAACCTGCATTTGAATTCTGTTGTCTAACAGAACTTCAACATGTTCCTAATGGGTAGTGATGGGCAAATGAAGCTTCATGAACCATTTGCTGTATTTTCTGACCCCACTAGATGGCGCTCTCTGTTCATAAAAGGGCTCAAAGTACACCCCAAAGCAAAGCAAGAGCATCATCTAGTTGGGTTCCAAAATACAGCAAATGCTTCATGAAGCTTCATTTGCCCATCACTACTAATGGGGAGTCACATCACATGTCGTACTTACTCCAGAGGGGTACCAACTTGCCCACAGAACTGCCCCCTGCTGTCCGTGGGGTAGATGACCTTCCTGGGGTCCCCCTGAGACCATGCTGAGAGAGGTATGGCAGAGCATCACAAGAAAGTCTCCCTAAAGGCCCTCACACTCAGGTTAAATGACTGACCTAAAGTTGCTGGTACAAAGATGTCTCTCCCACACACAAACAAATGCTCACAATTCTCTGTGACTCAAATGGAAAATCCAGTTAATTTGCACTTAAGTATTTCGGATTTATGATTGGCTGGCTGCCTGTGGAGGTTTTGTTTAATCAACTAATTGCCTCCTTCATTATTTTTCTTCATTATCGCTTCTAAATACTAGAACTCGTACTCATAAGTGGAAATTAGCGGGAGAACATTTTAAAATGAATTTGAGAAAGCACTTCTTTACACAGCGTGTAGTTAGAGTATGGAATAGTCTTCCTGCTAGTGTAGCGGAAGCTAAAACCCTGGGTTCCTTGAAATCAGAGCTAGATGAGATTTTAACAACTCTGAGCTATTAGTTAAGTTCTCCCCAAACGAGCTTGATGGGCCAAATGGCCTCCTCTCGTATGTAAATTTTTTATGTTCTTATAACCCTCCGAAACCTTGAACGCCAGGTTGAGAATAACAAGCCCACTGTCATGTCGTGGCTGTGGTAATAGAGGGGGAACGGTGAGGTTTCAAATCTTAAGTTTAGTTGTTCTTAGGCACCGGCTCCTTGCAGACTTACCCAGAATTCCCACTGCAAAATAACCCAATATGGCCAAAATAAATAGGATGCAGCAAATGATGTCGGTGCAGCCCCTGTTGGCAAGAGATACCACAATCTAACAATGAACACAAACACGTGTGCGGGAATACAACAAACAGCTGTGTGGAAGAAGAAAATATCAGATTTTCAGTACCTGTTGTGTATGGGCCCTCTGAATGTAGGATCAAACTTCTTCGGCTCTCCTGTTAGGGGGGAGGGGGGAGGGGGGAGATAATTCAGTAAATATCACACGTACATTGTTATCCAGCCCACTAACAGCAGACAGAATGAGAAGGTTGTATTTCGTTCGTGTCAGTCATTTTAATACATCATACTGTAATTACCAAAACATAACCCCAGCTAAGGCAAACACCTGAGAATTAAAAGGCGGTGAGTCACCACTTTGCGATGTTGGTCAACACCCGCTTCGGCGTCCCGACATTAGTGATCAAAAAAGCAGGGAAACAAATTCACTACCACAAGTACCTTCTGATGAAGAAATTACATGCGCATTCACACACACACACACACACACATATATATATATATATATATATGTAGAGACTTTAAAGGTCAAGAATGTAACCGTTTAAGTTGTATTTTAAATTATGTCTAGATTGCCTCGGTCTAAAATAGAGTCGGATCAAGCTCGTTTGGGGAGAACTTAACTAATAGAATGACGGACATCGAAATCGGTAGCGAACGACCACTTTTCTGCAGCTTCTATTGCAAGCGCAACTTATAAAAAGTCAAGCGACAGTATGAAAACTACACCTGCACATTGGCATAGGAGGTCCGTAAAGTTTCGGATCCTCATTCCCAATGTGGCAGCGGGTGTGCGCCGAAAACACGCAAGTATCACCGCTCCCACGCTTTAATCTTTAGTAAGATCTTAGATTACTTTAAGGAAAATTATCACTTAACGCTTCACTTTAAAATCCTTTACCACTCCGCTTGACGGAGGATGCATGCCACATTCCCCAGAAGAAAATCTGCACACTTTCTGCGCACTTTTTTTCAAATGCAGAGAAAGATCAACAGATTACTACTGGATAGATTAATTTTTAAAGCCTCACCGTTCTTCCCATAGTATTCCTCAGGCATCGTGGAAAATAAGAACCTTTGGTTTATCTTGATAGTAATGCGGGATTTACTCTGCTACACGCTCTTGAACTCCGCTTCTTCACTTCCGCTTTTCTAAATCGTTTTAAGTGGAAACGGTAGTCAGACCTGTTAAACCAGCCCAGGCCGAATCGCCGCGTTTCCTTCGGCGGTCGCCATTGCTTTCGTTCGTGTGCGTTTCCCCCCCACTTCCTCGGTTTCGGTTCTCGTTTTCTGTCCATCACGATTTTGAGAGACGCATATAACATCCTAGGATGCCAATACTGCGGGACCAAAGGTGCGGCCAGGTGATTCAGGATTTCGTCTTTTCCCGAATTTCTCTGTTTATTTTCCCGACGACGCCCTTTTCCCTGGTTTGTGCACTTAATTGCTTGATTATATAAAATCATAAATCCTAATCTGAGAATATTGTCTACCAGATAAGTTACTTAGGCGGTCTTAAATATTATATTACTTGAATTATTATATATATTATTATATTACTTGAATGCTAATCTGTCCCTCAACCACACCCTATAAGGATACTGCCTTTACTTCTGGTATAGTCTCTCCCATTAATGTCCCCTGTACACAGGATGAGCCGTAACAATATATACTTCAAGTCAGTGTCCCAAAGGCCCATCAACAATCTTCTGTTTAATCCCCTTTTGTAAGAGCACGGATTGGATTACTGTGCACTCAGACATGTGACATTATGAGAATGCATAGCCCTCGCCCCACTGTGAGCTACGAAGGCTGTGTTGGAGTACGCCGTCTCCACCGGGTCAAGAGATTCACAGCTGACACGTGGAGAAGGCATACTCCAACAGCTGTGAGATGCTGTAAAAGGACTAGCTGTCTGGCTGTGTCTTTGCTTTTGAAGTTCGTCGGCCATGGTGGAGAATCGTACCCCACATTAACGCAGGGTATGGTGAGAGTGGTAAGTGCGTGTTTAAAACAAGCTATCTCTCTGCCATCTCCACTAGACAGGAAGTCACCCACAAGCTTGGTTAGTGATAAAGGTTCACAGGGTTTTTAAGAGCTGATTAAACTCTGTTAACTGACTAGTAAATATCACATAAAGTCCTTGAAGCAACATATTCTCAAAATATAACTCAAATCATCAAACTCAAATCATAGGGGACGCCAGCTACCCCAACCGCTACACCTACACCAGGCGGAACCTGAGGAAAGCCGCTAAAATCACCAGGGACTCCAGACACCCCAACTGCTACCGCCCCCTACAGGCCACCTACACCAGGTGGAACCTGAGG